GGGCCATGAGCTCACCCCCTGAATGCCGGCCAAGTTGATAGTCATCCCAGGTGTGCTCAGGTGTTTGTGTTTGTCTGTTTTCAGTTTCATGAGCTCTTTGTACTTCTCATGCTGTCTTTGTTCATTGCATGTTTGCATGGAGCAACCCTATTACTCTGTCTGACCTATCAGCATCTGTTTGCCAGACAGACAGAAAGAGCAAAGGAAAGAGTGAAAGAGGGTGCCTTTGATAGTTCATCTCTCTGTCTGGCGAGTTTCTGCATGTCAGATCTGTCCTGCGTAGCAGCAGAAAGCAAGGGAGAGACAGAAAGAGTGAGAGAGGCAGGGTGGAAGAGGACTAATCCCTCCGCCGAGCCTGCCTTCACATCAGCAGCAGAAAAAAAAAAAGCATAGAAAACAATATTCTAGCACTTACGCAATGCTGAAAGTCCTGTGCTGCAGGCAAACAACATGAATCAGCTGAGAAACTCTCACCTCAGCCTCACCATTACGTTCAGGAAAACACCAGCAGACTTGCTGAGCAATGCATGCTATGACTTTCATGTGTCTCAGAGAACAAGAAATACAAATGCTCGTCTCTGATAATTCGAACAAACACGCTGGATTGGTACGATCACATAATGAAATTTCACAGGCAAAAAAATAAAAAATAAAACACACACACACAAAAAAACACATTGTCTATTGTCAATAGTGTAGCGATTTGTCAATTTCTAACCAAGCGGTTTTCTGTTTCTATCATCACAGCGAATCGGCATGAATAGCTTGAATCTGTTGCAAAGTCTGTGTGAAGAAATATTTCACCCTCTCTCCAAATTCCCAACCATGTGGATTCGTATTGAAATTACTGGATTTCATCAGCGGAAATTCACTGTACAGCAGTAAATGTGACCACAACTTTTTTCAGCACATGCTTAATATTGAATGTTTTACTTTGTAAAATATTTTTCTACAAAAATTATTTAGAGGTAAAGAGATATTTTCTTCTGCTGTTTAAAGGTTTAGCCTTGGAATTTAAACAATTGCATGATGCTAACACTAGCTGAAGTTGTGGACAACACTTTGCAACACTAGTTATATATATAATTATAAATTAATTATACTAAACCATGCATTTTTCCTGGACATGTCCTGGTCAGGATTTTTTAAATTCCATTAAATTCCTATTCCATATATTATATGCATGCATATTTGGATTGCTTTGCGTTCTCTGTAGAGCCCATCTTCTTGTAGGCCATGATTGGTCTATTATGTACAATTCTTCTGCACCATTAGCTCATCTAGCTCCTCCAGTCCCTCTAAGGTACAGTGTAGTATATATGGTCATTTAGGGACTTTGTCTTACTGAATAATGTCTATCTAAGATGTTGCACTTTAGCATGTTTCATACAGTTAACATGATTAGTTTAACCCTCAGATGGCTTGCACTCTCTCTCACTCTCATTATTGAAGCTAATTACGCCTCTCAGTAGAACAGCACACTTCAATATAACCTGCATAGGGGAATAATATGCAACTAAAAATTACCTTAGATCAGTGCTGTTACTCTAAGTTTTGTAGATTTGACCCCATGACAGTCAGAAGCCCTCTGTGGTGCTGTAAACAGCTTTGTAGTCCAGGGCTTTTCTCTTCCAGGGCAAAAAATAAAAAAAGTGCGACTGTATCAATTTGGGAGAGATTTTCAACTCTCTCTCTCTCTCTCTCTCTCTCTTTGTCATCTGAGGTTTTGCTGTCTTTGAATTTAAAGTTATTTAAGTTGAATTTAAGTTGAAGATAAACATAAATGGCAGATACTTATGCTGTTACTATCACAAAAATGTATCAATTAAAAGATTTAATTTTAAATTTAATTTAATACAACTTTAACTTATATCAAATAATTGCATGGTAGATCTCAATGAAACTTTAAACATTATAAACACAAGTACAAGAATAAGGACCATATCAAAATGAAAACTATTCAAAAATATATTAAATATTAAAGCAATCATATAGTTTTACTGTTATAATTGTCCCAATACAATTATATTTTACTTGTATTAAATAAAAAAATATATATGTATTTTAATCGTGTGTTATAATTACTCACAGCATCTCCATCCAGCCTCACTTTTAAAACAGCTGTAATGTCTCTCACTTAAGAGCACAATGAAAATAGTAATTTACCGCAATACTACAGTGTATTACTCTGTAATGTGTGTATACTTGTAAATCTTAAACTAAATGTTTTGTGTAATATACCTAAAAAAAAAAATTGACAGTGCTGCAGTAGTTATAGTAAACACTGCCCATTCTCCATCATCAAGCCTGAGCATCCATTCTCCCGTCTACAGGAGGATTTCAATCATCCATTACCTTTTATTATTTAATAAGATCAATTAGCGTGTTGTTCCAGACAAGCTGTTTGTGGCTGATGAGGGCTGTGATGGATGATGGGATTGTCAGCAAATTGAGGAAAGCTGTTTCTCTCAGGGACTTTCTTCCTGCTCTCATTCACGCCTCTTGGGTCTTTCCTGGTGTCGATCATATACACACACAGTATATCAGAAAAAGCAAGTCCGACTCGCCCAGTTGAGGCTTGGCTGACAGTTCCCAGAAGTCAGTGCATTTACTGATTCTGACGTTCTGAGGCTGACATTTGTGGGAAACTGCCAGCATTCTTTAAATGAGACATGAGTCAAAAGGACTGCTCAAAGCTGGCTCGATTATGCATAAATCTGTCTAATTGGTCAAGCCATAATGACCGAACATATCAGGGAGTCTTGACACAGAAAGCTGGCCGGTCTCAGCTCAGCAGGATACCAGGAATCCCTGCATCTGCTGAGACAGGCCAGAGGGAAGGATCCCAGACCTGTTTATTTTGATCCTTTGTCGTCTGGCCCAAACCCCCCACACTGTTGGCACTGACCAGGCTGTGCAATTCCATCTTACCCCAAGACTTAATTACCATTTTAATTAGCAGGGGCTTCAGAATTAATAATCCTTCATCATATGGCATTTTCATCTTTGGGCATGAAATTTCATAATCATTTTAGTCTGTTATGTATTCTGGGTCAGGCAGTAGATCAGACTGCAGCCATTATGAGTGTCTTCATGAACTATTTGTTTAGTCTGCGTTAAATTAACCACACAGACTCCTTGAAAGTTACATCACTTAAATTGAATATATTCAGTGTAGTGTCTGTTGCTCAGATGATGAATGAAGACATCTGCTGTCTGGCGGAGCCAGGTTGTTCTCAGGAAGTCACACAAGTAGTGTCATTTAAGCTATGAAACAGACATGAGAAGACACTGGGCTTTTGAAATAATGTTACTTTTTTTATTGCATGTGGCTATTCAGAATCAATACAGTTTCTAAAGCAATGCTAATTACACTAAGTTTAAATTATCATTTCTAAGTAGCATCACAATGCAAATAATATGAAGTATATACAATGGAAGACACAGGGAAAAAATAAAAAAACTCGCTCAGGCATTGAAATATTCAAGCTTTCCATGAGAAACAGCATTCGCATAAGAACACTGCTGAAATTACTGTTAGTATTCAACAGCAAAACAAAGTTTTTCATTTTAAGTTAACAGTATTTGTACATTTGGTTCATTTCTGTAAACTAATCTTTAAAAAATGTAAATATTGCATATGCCGTTTGTGAATTTGTACCTATTTTTGTAATATCAAGTATCATTCAATGAATTTTAGTTTTTTTTTTCTTCTTCTGTATCATAGCATTATCAAATACCCTTGAAGTGGCATTTATAGTACAGTGTACATACTTTTACAAACATACTGAAGAATTAGAAATGAAAAGCGCAAGGCCAAAGTTCAGGCTTTGGCAAGTACCTTCATTAGTGCTTTAGTTATTTGGGGGAAATTAATTCAAACACGTACCATATATATATATATATATATATATATATATACATAAGACATAAGTTATCATATTTAACAAAAACATCAGTTGCAATCTCTTTATACATTATGTACAGCTTTCTAGGCAAACGTTTTCATATACTTAAGTCAAGTTGTGTGTGTTGTACTTTGTTTCGCTTAATTGCTTCGATCTGAATGACTCTGCCTCGGTATCAGTCTGTTTGTGGATGTTTAGGCCGTGCATTTGGTCTCCTGCGGAGATCTCCAGAATACTCTACATTCAAAAGTGTCTTGTGTTACAATCTAAGGAGCTTGTAAGTGCAAGACAAAGCATTGGTTCTGATGAGTCTATCCCTGTCTGACGGTAGGGAGCAGCATTAATGGTGTCAGGCCTTCTGAGACGTCCCTGAATCTATCACTCTCTCGAACGGCGAGCCGACGGGTGCGGATGTAAGGTGAAGGGAAGCCTGTGTATTCAGAGCAGTGAGAGAGGGCAAGTCAGCAGAGGCTTCTGGGTTGTTAAGGTGTAAAGACAGTGATTTAAAGTGTGCTAGCGTGCCTAGGCTTGGTGAGGTGCTCCTCTCTCTGACCTGAGGCGCACAACATCATTCATCTAGCGTACCGTAAGGGTTGTGTGTAAATCGCGTGTGGCTTCGTTCCAAAACTGATAACTCCTCTGTTCTGGAAGCCTGCTTTGCATATGTGCGGGATGACAGGCAGGCGGCCACCCATCTGGTCCTTTACCAGCTCAGATAAATATTATTATATTAAAATCATTTAAATATCTGTGTAGAATGCAAAATAGCATTCATAGATCTTTGACTGCAGTGCAAGACCTTCCTCTGCTGCAGTACAAGACATTCAGTTACCATGGCAAACAGTTGTCTTTGATACTCTTGTGAGTGAATGCAGGTCCTCCAGGAAACACTGTTTGACAGTACAGTCAGTAAGGCTTTGGATTGGTGTTTTTTTACGAAAACATTCACTTGTAAAAAATAAATTAATTTCTCAATATATATCTTTTTGTAAGTCATAACCTGGCTCGTTCTGAGGTAGGGTTTCCAAGTGACTGCTTTTTCTGATTTCCAATTGTTGAGTAAATTTCTGAAATGCCACCTCTGTGCGGTGTTACGAACACACGCACGCATGCACGCCGCCGCCGCCTCCGCGGGGGTAAATAAATATGCGACTTGTATATGCGTGCGTGTGCGGATCGAATGTCTCTCCTCGTGTTTGGTTCACAGGTTTTGGGGGGGGTTGAGGGACACTGGCCACTCGAAGTCCAGAACTCGTAACAAAACCAGTGAAAAAGGTCCATAACACAAAAACTGAGGGAAGGGATTGTAGTGAGTAACAGATGGACAGGAAGTCCCGCCTTTGTGTCTTTGAGTCATCGTCATGCCTCGCGCTGGGGTCAAGTGTCCGTGTTGCTGTGACGACGGTCATTCGAATGGATTCGGGAGGTCAAGGATCAGCAAAGAGCTGAAGAAGCAGCAGCAGCAGCAACGTGGTCCATCTGTCCACATGAGCACCTCCTCTTCTCCTCTCGATGGAGATGAAGGAGCTTTAATGAAGAGACTGGCTCTGTTTAGTCTGCAAGAAATAAGAGAGAGAGAGAGAAAGAAGCACATTAATGCGATGTCTATAAATATTCAGACAGAGAAAGAAAACACAATGTTCCCTGAGATCAACAAGATAACGCTGCTGTCATATAACACAACAGCCATTTATGGGCATTCACTAACGTTTCAGCATTTTTCTGAAATACTATCATATTCCTCTGTGCCTTGTCGGGAAAATCTTCCCTTTTCACAGAGCGGTGTGTGTTTTTCCATGACCATTGACGGTAGGGAGCAGCATTAATGGTGTCAGGCCTTCTGAGACGTCCCTGAATCTATCACTCTCTCGAACGGCGAGCCGACGGGTGCGGATGTAAGGTGAAGGGAAGCCTGTGTATTCAGAGCAGTGAGAGAGGGCAAGTCAGCAGAGGCTTCTGGGTTGTTAAGGTGTAAAGACAGTGATTTAAAGTGTGCTAGCGTGCCTAGGCTTGGTGAGGTGCTCCTCTCTCTGACCTGAGGCGCACAACATCATTCATCTAGCGTACCGTAAGGGTTGTGTGTAAATCGCGTGTGGCTTCGTTCCAAAACTGATAACTCCTCTGCTCTGGAAGCCTGCTTTGCATATGTGCGGGATGACAGGCAGGCGGCCACCCATCTGGTCCTTTACCAGCTCAGATAAATATTATTATATTAAAATCATTTAAATATCTGTGTAGAATGCAAAATAGCATTCATAGATCTTTGACTGCAGTGCAAGACCTTCCTCTGCTGCAGTACAAGACATTCAGTTACCATGGCAAACAGTTGTCTTTGATACTCTTGTGAGTGAATGCAGGTCCTCCAGGAAACACTGTTTGACAGTACAGTCAGTAAGGCTTTGGATTGGTGTTTTTTTACGAAAACATTCACTTGTAAAAAATAAATTAATTTCTCAATATATATCTTTTTGTAAGTCATAACCTGGCTCGTTCTGAGGTAGGGTTTCCAAGTGACTGCTTTTTCTGATTTCCAATTGTTGAGTAAATTTCTGAAATGCCGCCACTGTGCAGTGTTGCAACCGCTTGTGCGCGAACACATGCACACACGTCGCCACACGGGGTAAATAAATAAGCGACTTGTGTGACAGGTGTATGTGTTCGTGTGCGGACTGGATGTTTCTCTTCGTTTTTGTTTTTTGGGGGGGGGGGTTGAGGGACACTGGCCACTCGAAGTCCAGAGCTCGTAACAAAACCAGTGAAAAAGGTCCGTAACACAAAAATTGAGGGAAGAGATTGTTGTGAGTAACAGATGGACAGGAAGTCCCGCCTCTGTGTCTGTGAGTCATCGTCATGCCTCGCACTGGGGTCAAGTGTCCGTGTTGCCGTGACGACTGCCATTCGAATGGATCCGGGAGGTTAAAGATCAGCGGAGAGCTGAAGCAGCAGCAGCAACGTGGTCCATCTGTCCACACGAGCGCCTCCTCTCCTCCTCTCGACGGAGAGAAGAGGTGAAGGAGCTTTAATGAGGAGACTGGCTCTGTTTAGTCTGCAAGAAATAAGAGAGAGAGAGAGAAAGAAGCACATTAATGCGATGTCTATAAATATTCAGACAGAGAAAGAAAACACAATGTTCCCTGAGATCAACAAGATAACGCTGCTGTCATATAACACAACAGCCATTTATGGGCATTCACTAACGTTTCAGCATTTTTCTGAAATACTATCATATTCCTCTGTGCCTTGTCGGGAAAATCTTCCCTTTTCACAGAGTTGTGTGTGTTTTTCCATGACCATTCTTATGTGATTTATACATGAGGAATGAAGCTGGCTAGGGGGGATAAAAGGTTACATGTTCCCTCGCTCCCTCTCCCTCTCTCCTTTACCAAGTAAGGAATGTGCACTCTTTCGCTACGAGCAACAGAAGTGGCAGGTGCTCAGAGACAGCCGAGGGAAACACTCACTGACATTTAGCACTATGCAGCTGACAGAAAGAGCACTAAAATACAACACATCCACTACCACGCAACTCAACCTTAGATTTTCAGCAATCTGCTTACACTTTTTAAGAGAACCAATCTGAGTGTTTCTGCATGTTAAGTTGGAATAGGGCAGGGGGGTTCAAACTGGAATATCGGGACCCCCAGTGGGCTACAAGAAGGTTCTTGTAAACTTTAGAAAATATATTTTTAAGGGTTACCAAAGCACATTTCACAGTATTTTTTAACATTTACACAGTTTGATATTATTACTGTTAGCCATCAGTACAGTGTCCCGCACAAGACGTGCAGGGAAAAATAATATGTAGTTCGAATGAATTCTTAATTTGTGGACATGTTTTCACTCTTTTTAGTTAAATTATGGCCATCATTTCATTAAATTAAACAAGGGAATAAATGACTACAACATGACCACTATTTAACTTTAACGAGATAATTAATTTATAAAATGTGGCCAATAGTTCATATAAAATAGTTTTGTGTGTGCACATTACCATGTAAACAATTTATACAATTAATGCAAGCATGCAAGAATCCATCCTGTGTGAATGGTCTCATAAGAGAAAAAAAAAATGACACACATCAACTTCATGTTTGAAATGTAAATATTAAAGTGGCATTTGACAGTTTGCTTCTCTCTTGCTGCTGTCTGGGTTCTGTTTACAAGACTAGATCGCTATCCTGACCTCTCACCCGTTGTACTTGTTTGTGAGGTTTCATTTTCATGTAGGCCTCACACTGGGCGGAAGTCTCTGCAAACACAAACCCCTCATGGGCCTGTCTTGCCTGGCCATACTCTAGCACTGCCCTCCTCCGATCTCCTCCTCCTGCTTTTCATCTGCCTAGAACAAGAGGTGTTTTCATAGAGCGAGACTCGCTCTCACACACACTTAACAAACCCTTGATTCACGGCCATCGGCTATACAGCACGCCATAATCGCTCCCATTATCTGGACTGCCCGCACACATTCCGAACACTTCCGCATGTGAGCCCGATATCACAACATCCACTCCAACAGGGATGGAAGTAATTCCCATGAACGTCAGTAGGGCTGCATTGTCTCACAGAGAGCTGGGTAAAGTCAGGGAGGAGGGGCCAGCAAGAGGTCAAGCGTTTTTACGGTCGTAAAGTGCCTCATCTTTTCCTGCTCTTTGATACCTCCCTCTGTGTGGTATTACAATGTATTACTCTTCCAGTTAAGTGCTGACAGATCTGTTTGCCCATGGCCAACTAGTGAAGACAGAGAAAAAGCGAGAGACGGGGGGAGTAGGTGCTTTCCTGTTGTTCTTACAAATTCACCGGCTGTGGGCAAAACAGCAGAAAACATGTTTACGCTGCTGTCTCACCCTGATGGTTAAAAAAAACAAAAAACAATGATACCAACCAATGATAAAAACTATATCTACTACAACAGTAACAATTGCTGCTTGGGTCAAGTAGTTTTTCCAAACAGCATTTGGAAAAACCCTAAAAAAGTGTAAACTGTTGGTTCCAGCCCTGGCTTCTGATTGGTCAATGCACTGAATACAAACTTCTACTCTGAAAAGATTCATCACTGTTGTCCTATTAAGTAGTAATTCATAAACAAATGCCTCTTATGAGTTGATTCTTTTTAGTGAATCAAAAATGTAAAGTGAAACCAGTGTAGTCAGATTCACAAACAAATGACTCTTCTGAGCTGATTCTTTTTAGTGATTCAAAAACATACAGCAAAATCAGTGTAGTCCAATAAGTTTAGAATTTTATAATTTCACAAGAAATTAAATGTGATGTTTACTTAATTGTTCTATTGATTGTATTAAGTAAACAACAAATTAACTGCAGAGTTTGATCCCTACTGTTATTTTTTTTTTTTTAATATTTTTATAATGGTATAAAGTTAGAAGATTCCTTTTATAATTTACACTATTAGATGAGTTTTTTTTTTTCAAATTTTGGCCCAGTGGAGACTGTAAAATATGTGTCCAGTTTCATGTCACCAATAACTGGATAATGACATTAAATGATCTGACCAACTTTACTGTCACCACTGAGTGCTTCAGAGACACCACCTCTAAAACAAAGGTGCAATATTGACTACAGAAACATCAGCGTAACAGCGCAGTGGAAACCTTGGAGTGAACTTGAGCTCAGCTGCTCGTATCCAGACTCTCAGAGTACCGTGTCGGGTGGTCTGCTTTCGTCATGTGTATAAATAGACTCAAAATAGACAAGAGATCTCTTTCCCCCTCTCGCTGATTCTCACATTCACACTGATGCCACAGAGCCGGAGTCATGTGAGAGAGTGTGTGTGTGTGCCGAGGTCAGAGAGGCAGCTTGAATTTCACAGAGCTAATTAAGCAAGAGGAAGCTTGGCAATTCCATGGATCTCCCATTCTGATCCGGAAAGGCAGAAAAAACAGCGCCAATGAACGAGGAGGAAAAAAAGAGCCATGAGGTCATGGGACAAACACTCAACAGAGACACAGAGAGATGAATGAGCAGAGGGAGGAACTGAATATATTTTATATGTCTTTTTCTCAAACTCGGATCCGACTTGACTTTATTCAGTGTGTACAGTAATCTTCAGAGTTATGCTGTTATAGTCGAACAGTGCTCTTTAACAACATTTTTATATACTATTACAGTGTTTCTTAATATTTAGATTTCACTTTGTTATATTTTCAGTTTAATTTCATTTTCAGCTTTAGTTATTTTATGTACTTTTGAATTATTTTTTAATAAATTCATTTTTTGTTGGCTTTTTTCATTTTTAGTATTAGTAATTTTAATACTTTTTCAGTTAGTACTTTTTCAGTTTTAGTACTGTATTTTTTCAGTTAGTTGACAATGCAACATTTAAAAAAATAAAAAATAAAATTCTCCACCTAATATTTTTGTTATTTCATTTTAAATTTATTTCAATTAGCAAAAACTATTTTTAAGTTTTAGTTAACGATAACAATACTAGTCCAATTGATTAACAAATGACTCTTATGAGCGGGTTCTTTGAATTATTCATATATATATATATATATATATATATATATATGTTTTTTTTTTTTTTATATAAAATTTA